CATGGCATACCCCTTAGCTTCTCTGAATGATTCAAGCCCCTTTGTCACAACAAGGCAGCAATCCGTGAAGGGGTAGAAAAGCATAATATCATTTAATAAGAAAATCTCCTCTAATTTACCATTTCTACCATGAAATAACAAACATGACGTGTTTACACCTTTCTACGGGACTTTCCTCAAGGTCTAAAACAGCAGCTTTTCAGTTTCCCAATGCAAAACAGTTTTTGTATATTAAGAGACTTAATTGATATTTTGCCTTTGACATTTTATTTCCACAGCCCTGAAGCTATCGCTTGAATGTTCTCTACTTTTTTTTGTAATATTAGAACAGTGTTGTTTTATTGGACTTTGTTCTATTCATGTTTGCATCTTTTATTATTTTCTTCCTTGTTTATGTACTGATTTCAAGAAGCAGGGAAAACCTGTGGGTAGGTGTTTTTAAAGCAAATGGTTTAAGTGGGGGGGAGGCCACAGTGGATCACACCCAAGTCCTATCTCGTCTAGCATCCTGCTCTTCTTACAAAGACCAAACAACATATTGGAAAACCACAAGTAGAACATGAATGCAACAACACGCACCAAGAAGCAGCATATTATGTACCACTAAGCTAGTTCTGATTTAATGGCAGGTCTACTAGGGTTTTCAAGATAAGTGAGATTTTTAAGGAGTGGTTTTACCACTGCCACCCTCCGGTGAGCTTCCATGGCTGAGCAAGGATTGGCTCCAAGATCTCTTGAGTCCAGCATGCTATCCAGTATAGCCCATTTGCTCCTATGAGACACACAACCCCAAATACTGCAGGCTAAACAAAGAATAAATAATATACTGTACTAGTTGCCATAGATCGGCTTGATTTTTCAAGCTTAGCAGTAACCTTTATGAAAATCTTGACTTGCACTGTGATGGCTGTTCTTGGTTGTAGTTAAAGTGAACTTATGACCTTTACTCCTTTTATTGTACTAAAGGCTTCAGAACTCACACTAGTTGCCACAAGTGAAATCTGACACATCTGACTCTTTGTGTGTGTGTGAACACTGCATAGTGCTTTTTTCCGTCCAGTTGTCAGCAGATTCAGAATTATGCACAACAGACGTCTCTTCTTTGCATCATTGATCCTCCTTTCAGAATCCAGGTCTAGCGGGGAAAGTCTTTCTAGTTTGATGCTGAAGCGGAGGGCTTGGGGCGGGTGGCAGGATCGGGACCCCTGCCTTGGCGTGACCTGCCGGCAGGAGGCCACGGGCGGCAGACGCCCCTCGCCGGATAGGCCCTGCCTGCGCTTTAGGCAGCTGCCGCCCAATGGCCAACCAGAGGGGGGACGCCCACCGCTTCCTGATTCATGGCTGTCATAAAGCAAGAACCAGTGACTTCACAATATTCTTAGTTGCTCTTCTATCTGCCTGAAAATTTATAAAACTTCCACTTGACTGGTCACCTAAAAGGAATTTCTGCATCTCAGAGAGAGGACATGCCTTGAAGGCATTCCAAAACTGAATTGTTGACCTGTCCCTAGAAAATGATACGTTGGTAGAGTAGCTGTAGCACAGCTAAATGGGCCAAGCGTTCACCTTGCTTTAGGGTAGCTTCATGTTTTCTTCTCCATAAGCCCAGATAAAACCCAGAATAGCAATTCTGAATTTTTCATTTCAGCTGTAGCCTTCACAAGGAAGTCCTTGATGAATCTGTT